GTCGTACTGTTATATAACATATCCCAATTTTAGAAACTTATGTTCATAAAACAGTCATATATATGCATTGCGTGGTTGACTCTGTTTTGTTCAATATCCAGCAAAACGAATATGGCCAGCAGCATCTGCAAATGGTCGGCAGACATGAGTTTGAGACTGAATACAGTTTTGTCAATGAAGAGTGCGTTGTCGACACGAAGACGAAACTTAGCTCAGCTATAAAGTTTGGGACAACCACTTTTTGACATTCAAGAGATAGCCATTAATGCCGTAAACTATTGAGAAGTAATGATCGAGTTAGAACACCTTCCTCTCCCCTGTTCCACTCAACTTCGTCATCGATTGAATCATGCGAACATCACCAAAGGATTTCGCGGCGTCGAAATCAGTGCTTATTCCGTTTACTTCATTACTGATCTTGATTACGACGGCGCTCAATGCCTCCTTGGTGAATCCATGACGTGGTTGCAGCAGTTGGACTAATCATCTGCGCAGAGAAAACAAAAGCATTTTCCCAAGGGATCCCAGAACATCCAAAAATTCATCCTTCTGTGTGCCAGTCTCTTTGAAGAAGTCACCGCCTTCAAACATCTTGACCTCACCATCATTCTCAATGAACAGTATGAAGATGAAACAACCACTCAGATTGTAGCAGCAAAGGGGTTTTTCTGCAGTTCTATGAGCCTCAGCGTAAACGATGGAGATCAGTCTGAAGAAGAACGCCAGGTTCTGCAGATCAATTCACCAGATTCACCATTCGCTCAATCCTCGGCTATGGATGTAACAACTGGGCTGTAAGAGTAGAAGACGTGACGGCCAAAATTGGAATCAGCCACTGGCGTTTAAGAATCATCACCCTGTCATCGACGTTTGTCGACCATAAATCCGTGCCGGTTGCAACATCATCCAGTTGTCCACCGTCCTGAAAGAACGGCGACCTCGTTCGTCCAGAAGAGGACTGAGTCGTCCCGTAGACCATATCACCACTATTGCACTGAACGCCATTCACGTCCCTCGGCTGTACTGGATAAGAGAGGGAAAATAAAGAAGAATCAGTGGACAACGACTGAGCTGACGGTGAAATACTCTGTTGGCCGATTTTGC